GCACGACCACAAACTAGAAGCCAGTCCACAGCTGCATCATTAGCCACTTTAAACCTCTCCAATCCATACATGAAGCAAACTGACACCCACCATAAAGATGTGGCACGACCACAAACACGAAGCCAAACTACAGCAATGAAGCTCACCATCTCAAATCCCCCTGCAACTCAGACTAACCTGAGCACAACAAAGCCCCCACTCAAACAGAACACTCCCCCATCCAATCAGAGCACAGCCAAGCTCCTTAACCAATCAGAACACACCTCCACCCAATCAGAACACAGCCAAGCTCCCACCCAATCAGCTCAAACCCCACTGGCAGTTAAAAGGAAGAAACAGCTGCGATTGCACACTACTCCCAGAAGCACAAAGCTGAAGACAACAGCCTGAAGATGACGAATGTGACTTCGTCGAAACGTCGCCAGGACACTTCCAATTTTATGCGGGAGAGAACACGAATGACCAAAGACCTATATATATATATATATTTTCCTACTTCAAGATTGTTCCTCTAATATTTTCCTTATGGGGGTGTATGATGGCCGTAAGGAGGCAAAAGAATTAGCCTCTTCAGAAGGAGCTGAAGATCCAATTAAAGATGCTTTCGGAGGCACACTTTTTACTTGATCCTAATCAGGTTGGGGGTTTGTTAGTTAATTGTTGTCCTGCTGAAGCATCTGAGCCAAATTTTTCCACTGCTTGACGGCACTGATACCATCGATGTAATATCTGTACTGGAGCCCGAGATTCAAGATGTAAAGTATGCCCTATCTTTTCCCAATCTTGTAACCTAAGCGTCCAGCGCTCAGGATATCAAGAGCAATGTTTCCCTACCTCCTCCACCAGCTTCCTTATGTCTGCCTCAGGCGCTGTCACGCCTGATTTATGTAACAGGAATCTGAGTTCCTGTACATGTTTCTGCTTGCTGAGATAGATTGCAACCCATACTCACCACTGAGGGGTCCCATAGGACGAAAGTGCACTTAGGGGTCTGTTCCAGACGCTGGTAAGTATGTTGGCTGTTGCTCCATGGGGGGGGCTGTCCCTGTTCGGGGGCCAGATGTAAGACGCTAAGAAAAAGACACAGGCATGTCTTGAGCAGAGGTTTGAAGCTGCAGGACACAGCTTGACAAACTCTGTGAGTTTATTGCTTTTTATATTCTTGTTACATACACAGCTTAACCATTAGATGCTGACATAAAGTTTCTTCATTGAAAAATTCCTTCATATAAGCAACTATTTCCTAGTAACATATTACATGGTCAAAGACCAGGTAAAGAACAAATACAGGCAGATAAAAGAAGAAGGAACTAACAAAGATAGGAAGGAACTAAGCATATTATCTGTTTAGGTAGGTGAGGCATTAAGTCAAAAGGGGATGATCTTCTGGCTGCTTCACTGGGACAAAGGGTATCAAAAGGTTATGAGGTTTGTAGGGAGTGAGGGAAAAGTTTGAAGGTGTTTATCTCTGATCATCTTTCTGTTAGAAAAAAACACGTTTGACGAAGGAGGATGTTTTGTTATATTTTTCCCCTTGATATTTACAGGTGATACATTTGAATTGTGCTTATGTAAACACTCCCAATATATTTTGAAAATATATTGTAATCGTGCAGTTAATTTTTAAAAAAAACAACAGATAAATTATAGTGAGTAACATTCTCCCCCCACTCCCCAGAAAAAAAGAGATCCCTTTTAATAACTATTGGCCACTACAGTTTTATTGGCTTGCCTGGAAGGAGAAGAATTAGCAATGCTAACGTTGCAGATTTTTGTAATAAGAGAGCTTAGTGGGGCTGTGAGGTTCAAATGTCATATGTCTAAACAAGAAAAAAAAAGCATAATAAAAGAAAGTTCATATGTGGGTGAGCAGTATCTCTGTTCCTTGGATCTGTAGCCTTTTTGAATTCTTTAAATTTGATGGGTGGACTAAGAACTCTGCCAACTTATTCTGCTAATTCATCTTGAATAATGTGCTGATTTCATTTTATTGTGGGCCCTATAAATCAATGCTATATGCTGGGTCCTGCATATAACACGAAAAATACCCTTATGATTTGCCTTGTAACATAAGTATGCCGGGGCGGGGGGATTGTGGCAATGAGCCACAAAACATGTAACTTACCCTGAAATAGTATGAGAGAGTAGTCACAGAAGAAGTCATGAGTGAGACATGCCATCCATGGGGGGTTGAATTAAAGTGCAATACATGAAACAGTTGTGTTGCCTTTGGAAGAGTCTGTGAGATTTCTGTTCTTACAAGTACATTTTTTGTGGAAAGCTAAGCAAAGTGTATAAAAGTGATGATGAAGACAAGAAGTCAGCAGTGGCCAAGTGGAGCATGATAGGAACGTCCAGTGCTCCACTTTTTTAAAAAAAAATAATAGCTCTCCATTGCATGACATAAAGGGCAACTGGAGAAAGGCAGGCAGGGGGAGGATGCTACAAATGAGCTGGAATTCCACACTGCTATCTTACTGCCCTGTTTTGCTGGGAAATAGGTTTGGGCGACTCATGAAGTGACTGAAGATGGCATGGTGCTTTCTCTTGCTGTTCCTTCTTTGGACCACCTGAGAAGTAGAGTCTGTACTTTCCAAGGTAGTCGTATTTTGACACTGTCCATCTTACAAGGATTATGTTCATTCCTAAAGAGTTATGATAGTTAGTTTCAGGGGGCATCTGCACGGCAAGTTAAAAAAAAAGGCAAAATTGTGAGCAAGACATTGCAATTACACTTTTGGTGTTAGGCATCTATTAGAGAGCCTGTTGATAGTTCATTAACTAAAGAAGGAAATTATAGCTTATGATATGGTAAAGCTTTAACTTTAACCTTAGGAATATTTACCCAAATATCGTACAAAAACAAAACATTGATTTTCAATTCTTATTTTTTTTCCTCAGATACTCAATATGAGTGAAGCCCATCTATGCAAATCTGCTGTTATTTCTAATAACAATTTATTTATTATTCAGTTTAAGAGTAAGAGTCGCTGTTATTTAAAATGTTTGATAATGTATGATAATGTGACAATATTGAAAGTTAATGTGGAACAAATTTATGATATAAGATTCTAGTGCTTTGGACTCCCTTAGCTCTTATTCTGATCTTGATTTTTAACTAATAAACAATGCAATCCTGTTTAGCTAATAAACAGTGCATGTTTAGTTGGCATTCACCTAATATGTTTCTCCTGAAAACTTTATATACTGTAAGGATGCACTCAGAACTAAGTTTCTTATTTGCAAGCTATTTGCTAACAAATAAAATTGGGAGTAATTTTGTTAATAATACGTGAAGTCAGTGTCACTTTAATGTTATATGGCTGTAGGTCACATTGACTGATAGTGCCACCCCCATTTGGAAGGATGATTTGGAAGGATGGACAGCTTTGGCATCCCGTAAACTTGGTGCCCACGGCTAATATCTGCTTGGTCTTAGCCTCAAGTTGGTCCTGTACAAGGAAGTGATTCTATCTTCTTTTCTCGTAGGTTCGAGAATGGAAAACAGAAGGCCAAAAAACATATATGTGCACAGGCCGTCCTGGCTGGCTTACAATGTCTCTTCGTATTGGGAAGTACAAGAAGACTCTCAAGAACATCACAATCAACTTGATGGATATTTTAGATGTAGACATTGAGCGAGAGGTACCTTTGAGATTTTTCCAGATGAAATTGCTTTTAAATTGAGCTCAACAACTAGTCCATATGGTTGTTGTGGGATTGTCACTGCTTTCTTCCAGGATGTTTTTTTCAGCACTGCAATTACTTCCCGCTCTGGACTTCCTGGTGATCTCTATTTTCTAGCTTTATAATAATCCTTCTTAAGATGCAATGACGAAACTGTACATGATCCTATTAAGTGAGGTACAATCCTAATTTTCATAAGGGCGCTGCTGTAGTCAATGGTTTTATTTCTATATCCTTCCTAAAGATTCCAAGAATGACATCTGCCTTTTTTATATAACAGATATACACTGGATTGACATTTTTCATCAAGCTGACCACTATGATGTCAGGATCCTATTCCTGATCAATCACTTCCAGTTCAGATCCTATTAATGTATAGGTTGTTGTGCAAATGAAGGACCTGTTATGCAGATTGATGGAATGTTATCTAAGCCATAAAATGTGTTATGTTGTAGGTTGTCCGGGTGGAACCTTTGGTCTCAATGGGACAATTAACAGCACACCTGAATCGCATGGGCTGGACTATTCCAGTGGTACCAGAACTTGATGATCTTACAGTAGGTGAGAAGTCTTGGAACCTGGAACTCATGACTACTCCTTTTATTAAACTACTCGGTCATAATTTCACATATGAGAATGCTAAGCATAAGAAGTTCCAGGCCAGTATGATTTTCTTTGTTTTGCTTGCTGTAGATTCTCTTGTTCTGAAGTATGGTTCTGTAAAGTTTAGCATGTATTTCAGCTCATTCTTGATCATGGTCTCTTGCATAGGTGGTTTGCTCATGGGGACTGGCATTGAATCTTCCTCTCATATCTATGGATTATTTCAGCATATCTGTGTGGCCTGTGAGCTTGTTCTTGCTGATGGCAGCCATGTGAGATGTAGCCCGGTAAGAAATTATATTTCTTTGCCATGATTTAAGAAGTTATGTCAGTTCTATTTTGAGTGGCTGCTTAGCATGGTGTGCTTTTTGCAGGAGGAGAACTCTGATCTATTTTATGCAGTGCCTTGGTCTTGTGGCACATTAGGCTTTCTGGTTGCAGCAGAAATAAAAATGATCCCATCTAAAAACTATCTGAAATTACATTATGAACCTGTGAGAGGGCTGAAAAACATCTGCAAGAGATTTGCTGAAGAATCAGAAAAGAAAGAAAATCATTTTGTAGAGGGCATTGTGTATTCTTTGGAAGAGGCTGTCATAATGACTGGGATTTTGACCGATGAAGCTGAGCAAGAAAAGGTAACCTAACTTTATTATTCTTGTTAAGTAAAAGGGGGCACAGGAGACAGAATGACAAAATTGTCTTTCATATGTTGAAAAAGCAAGTTGTTTCTTCTAAAAACTAGAGAGTCCACTTATACTGT